GCCTCATTGAATGGAGCCTGTTTGTCAAACTGAAGAGTCAGGAATGTGACTGGGAGGAGATCTCAATAAAGGGTCCCAACGGGGAATCATCTGTGATCCTCGACAGGAAGTCTGGTAGGGAGTTCTCAATCGAGGATGCCTTGAAGAGCGGAAGGCTAACCGTGGCTCAGTACAACAGTTACCTCAACAAGGAGATGTCGATCCAGGAGTTGGCAGTCTTGGTGTCTGGAAGTAATTACACAGCGCTCCCTCCACTTTAGAAACTTGTTCTTAAGAGCAGCCAGTCAGAGCTGCACCACCTGTTAGACTAACAGATCACTGCAAATCCTTGCCCTCCTTTGCGTCTTCCAAAATGCTAGAGCCTCTGCCCCAGCCATGCTATGGAGCTGCACTGCTTGCTGTCATACACTGCAGAGAAGCACCACCAGTGGTGGAAAACACGTTGGTCAGGACTACAGCAAAACCTTCTCCCCCTCTTCATCCCTACCTAATCACTCAACCTAACAAAAACCAAGACAAAAAGCCTTAGGACAGTGAAGTACCTGAAGTCCAAACACTCGGTAGAACCTGCAGTTTCCTCAACGTATACTCACGTAGTCGCATAAAAAGCTGTATACACCAGTCGTTAGAGAGACTGAAGGTCAAGACGACTCGGAGGTGACCAGCAGGAGCTGGTTACCTCAGCTGCATGTTGGTAAGCTGGACAGTTTCATCGTGGACAACTAAGTGATGGGATCGTCCTCTGAGAAAACCAGCTCTGTAAAAACAAAGGTGTGCTACACATCTTAATTCGGTATCACCACGTTAATACCTAAACATCCTCATTTTGTTCACCTACGTGCCTATGCTGCTGGGGAAGAGTGGAGCAGATGAAATTTGATGGCATCAGCCATAGATCCAGGAGGAGCATTCATATACCACAGAGGTCACCAAAAAGTACGTGAAGAGATGGCAGCACTGCCAAACACAAGAGGGTAGGGTAAAGCATGCAGCTGTAACCAAACGCAGAGTGCCTTCGAAACACAGCGAGCTTACCTCATGGCTAAAAGCCGTTTGTGCTGGTATTTTACTGGACGAAGTTACATGCAGCTACATGTTTCATTTACTTGTGTAAGGGAATGGGAAATAGAGGGGAATTCTATTTATAGTACAAAATAAAAATGCAGTGGTTCCAATCCAAAGTTGGTTTTTCTTTATTACAAGAAGTCTTTTCTTTATTACAAGAAGTCTCTTGATCTTTGCCTTCACAAGAAGATGCCGTTGCAGAGTCAAAGTTAAAAAATAAGACCGTTCATTTTAGCTGTTGAGACTTTTCCAAGAGGGAAATTGCTGAAGCAGCATTAGAGCCGGGACTAATTAGCAGCATTAGTGAACTGCACTAACGGATGGGACTGCAGCTGCAGGAAAACAGGGAATTACACTGGGATGGTACCAGGGGCTTCCACATCCAGAGCACGCTCATTTCCTTTTTCCCAAATTTCAGCTAACACCCACACCCCAGTAAACTCTGCCATCAACAAGAGCGGCCGTAAGCACTCGCTGCATATCCATCCTGGGTTTGGGGATTGACACCGTTATTTTACCTTTGGGAATGAAAGGATCTCGCAGGATCACACCGTTGCTCCAGGGTCTGAACCCCACGTGTTCTTTCCAGCAGATGTCAACTTCAGGCATCAGCAGGAGCACCGGGAATGAGGATATGCAATTCTACCACCACAATGGCTAGAAACAGCGCTGTAATTTACTTACCACCTAAGAGCCCCTAGTTAAAACAGTAAATAATTCATTACTGACTCAAGAAACAGATGACAAGAGGTGACCATCCAAGCTGAAACACAAATTCTTGAAAACAAAGTCACAAAACTAGAGGTAAGGAGAGAGAAAAAAGCATTCTGGAAACTTTGAAACAATTTATTCGGTTGTTCTGTACAAGATTAACAGTTTTCATACCACCCCCACCATCTTCAAAAAAAAAAAAAAAAAAAAAAAAGAAAAAAAAAAAGAAAAAAAAAAAGAATAGTAAACCGCAGCTCTTACACCCCGAAAGGAACTGCCATACTAAGTGCGTGCCACGGGAGCCTCACCTCCCCACACCGTCACAAAAGTGTTGCAAGTTGCCTTCTCAAGGCAGAGCTGCAGACTCCCGGCTCCCCGTCAGCTGTCGGGACTCTGCGTGGTTCTGCCTTGCTGCGACTCTGCTCCGTACCACTCACTCATTCATTATAGCACATAAAGAAAAAAATATCCCACAGAATTTCCACCAAATAAACATTTCCCTGAGGCAAGAGGCTTCGCTAAATTCCTAGAAGGAGGGCATTCTGCTCTGGCCATGCACACGGGTGCTTCCCAGCAGCAGCATTCAAGTGAAAGCAAAGGGAGGGAGTAGAACCGGTACCTCGAGTCACTCGCTGAGAGTCCCTATCCTGCCAGGTGTTTGAACGCTCTTGCAACCACCATGGGAAGGGGAAGGTGCAAAGTACCTCTCAGGATTAGGCCTTCAACGGGAACCATGCGACACCCACTGCTCAGAGTCCATCAATAACTGCTGTGCTTAGTTTTAATAACACAAGTTCTGTCTTTGGCTCTTTTGCTACAACCTAGGTATTTTCTGTAAACAAATTTTAAATCTGAGCTGCATTTAAAAAAAAAAAAATACAAACAATACACTGATCTTGGGAAATTACGTATCAGCTCAAATTGAAAACAGTCCATCTTGGATCTTACCAAAAATGGGGAAACCTAAAGCAGATATTTGCTGGTATACTCAGTGTCAGCGTCCTTCCCCACAGCTCAAGAAGGAAGGCTGCAAGCTTTTGCTTGAATACCAGTAAAGTCTACGTGGATCAGCGCTACGGCTGCACGATGCAGATGTGGCTGTGGGGGCCTGAGAAAAGGCAGGCTAGGGGAAGAGCAGAAAGACCAAAATCCAAAGCGCTCAGTTGGAACCACGGCCTGCCCTTAGCTATGCACAGAGTGAAAGGGTGTGCTCAAAAGTGTTCAGGTCTAAAAGTTAAAACATTAAATTGACACACCTCACTTCCAGCTGGTCCCCATTCCTGCAGCGGTGGCAAGCACATGACCCTAGTGCAGAAATCATCGAGGAGAGCAATATCATTCTCTGGAATTCATTCATAAAGAAGAAATTCTTCCCTGTGAGGGTGCTGAGACACTGGAGCAGGTTGCCCAGAGAAGCTGTGGCTGCCCCCTCCCTGGCAGTGCTCAAGGCCAGGTCGGATGGGGCTGGGAGCAACCTGGTCTGCTGGAAGGTGTCCCTTCCTATGGGAAGGGGTTGGGACTAGGTGATCATTAAGGTCCCTTCCAACCCACACCATTCTGCGACTCTATGACTAGTAGTGACCTTGGTTAACCTAGATCATGCCCTCTGCCCACCAAAGAGATCATAACTGACGACGCTAGGAAAGAATGGCTTTAGGGGAGGGTCTGGAACCCGCTTGCACACACTCTGATAAGAACTGGTGCTCTTGCTGGATTTGGTACTGTGTTCACAGCCACCAAGACACCACTGAAGTCCAGACAGTGCAGCTTTTTTTTTTTTTTTTGATGTGCAACCATAAAAAGCTCTATTAAATAAAACAGAATACATTTTAAATACAGCATGATTAAAAAAGGGTTGAGGAGCACACAAAATAGGGCTGAAATGTGTGTCACTAGTCCATTCTTGCTCCACCATAAAAGGCACTGGAATTATGTCTTCCTATACATATGACATGCTGAGAAGTGTCCCATTCAATCCAATGCATTCGATGGTAACGAGGATAAAACTGAGCAGGAAAAAAGCATCCCTTTGGAGGAAAAAAAAAAAAATATTCAAAACCCAAAAGTAGTAGAATTCTCAAAGTCAGTGACTGCATCTAAAAGTGTCTCTCTAAAGAGTCTTCCTTCTCCTCCAGAGGGAATCAGGTGGTTCATTAGATTCACCACACAGGAAATGTTAAGTGCTCCAATTAACTGTAGCACAGTTCTACAGTACAATTGAAAAGTTAGTCAAATATCTTCAGAAAGCACTGGCAGTGCTAGAATTATCCAGGTAAACCCAAAGCAGAAGAAAGAAGCACCTGTCATACCCTCCCCTGGGAAACCAAGGAGGTAACTGGACCTGGAGGTACTTGGCAGATCCAGACACAGGTGGTGGGAATCCACTGCAAGAAAGCCAAGCCACCCACGTCTCCCTGCGAGTTCTAGCTCCTGCCAGTGCCAGGGAATGCGTGAAGGGCAGCAGCAATAAAACAGTGCTACAAAATGCTTCTCTCATCAGGGCACGGCTCAAGGTGGCCCTTTGTGTGGTGCTTCTCTCTGAAAGCCTCTGAGCAAACACAGCAATGCGTTCCTCACTGCAGTGCAGTCTCTCCAGTTGTCGTGAGGAAAAAAAAAAACAACAAACCAAAAAACCTCCAAATCAAAACCGACACAGGCCGTATCCAAAGTTCATGATCTGTTCCTCTGGGTTTTATCCTATGTGTGCTCTAGCTCCCCTCCTTGCAGACGTCACAACTTGCGCTGCTGTGCATTGGACCCTTTGCTGTGAAGTTGAGGAGCATCTGAAAGAAAATAAAACCAAGTGGGAAGGGGGGTCGGCATCAGCTCCACGGAGCTGCGGGTGGCCAGATCTCTCTGCACAGAAAGACCGAATTTTTCGCTTCCAGCATCGAGAAATTGAGGATAAGAGGGTGTGTTTGGAGACATCTCACAGCACATGGGAAGCACTGAGGGTCTCCTGTGGCCTCCCAGCAAGAGCCCCACGGCACAGACTCAGACAGCTAGCCTATGCCCTTCCCTAAGCACCATCCTGCCATGTCTCCCCATCTAGGAAACCCAAAATACGTGGCATTGGCTGCGCTGCACCCAAAGGTGGTTTGGTCACACCGTCAGTACACTGTTGCCGTTGTAATGAAGGCTTTAGGTGCCCACTACAGCAACAGGAACCATAGGAATTACCCACTGAAGTAACAGAAAGGAACAGACACAGAGGGAAAAGAGCAAATGCACTGAAGAGAGAAAAAGGAAGGCAATTTAAGGAAGCAGAAAGTTTTCCAGGAGCAATTAAAACTACCACCAGACTGTGATGAACAAATGGGTGTACCGAGAGGTGCCGTTAAGCAGCAGCAGCACTGAGCACCGTAGCGGCAGCTTCTTCTCCAGGACAAGGACAGTTCTTTCCATGCAAGCACTCAGTCCCAGCACGTCGCATTTCTAAAGCAAGCAGTCAGGGCCATCGCCACAGCACCAGCACGCAGGCACCCCCAGCAGTAAATGCAGCAGTGGCAACGCGCAAGCAAGCGCTGGATGGTCCTTGCTCAAACACCTTTTGATGAATGCTGGTAGAAGCACTTTCATTTAAGACATCGTTTCCTTGCATTTGTAGCAACCTCCCAACACACCAGAGTCCTCGCAGCTTTCGGACACAGCACTGCAGCTGTGGCCATCAGCTCGTACAGCCAGCCAGAGTTTATGCCACAAAACAAATTAATACATTTTAAGATTATGGCAGTCTCTTAAAGACCTACTGCGTTCTTCTACAAAGCACCACAATTGACAATATTCCCAGAGATGACAGAACTAAACTCAATCTCCAATCTCTGTCTGAAAACACGAAGTGAGAAAGCAAGTCCCTGCTGAAGCTGTCACAATGGTCAGTTTCCCCCTCACTTATTCCTAGTCACCTTTTGTCTACTCGCAGCTTCCAGCACTGTGTCCTGCTCAAGAGCTGCAGTTCATCAAAAAATTCTTCTGTTGTAAGCAACAGTGAAGTAACCACTCCAAATTCCCTCAGGGAACAGGACAGAGAACTCCTCAGCAACACAGAACACATTTCACATCCCATGGTCAAAACAGAATCAATCATCTCACTCTCCAGTAACCATGAATTTACAAACAGGAGGGAAGGGTCTGTCACACCAGTGATTGCTGCTAGAACCTCCTTCTGCTCCACCGCATTGGAGAGACAACCAACCTGCCTCAGACAAACTTCAGCAAAAGAAGCAAAACCAACAAATTCCTGGCATTTTCACCAGCACCCAGCACTTTCTCCAGCAAACAAGCCCTGTGCTCAGCAGTCGAGGGCATTCTAACCATGACTGCTACAGGAGGCTCCACGAACTCCAGGAGGTTGTCTGCACATCTAATGGCCTCAGTGCCACAATATTAGGTTGGCCCATCCGCTCCCAAATCAGGCTCATAGTGCCCAGTAAGACAATCACACAGGAGCAGGTACTAAGACCGTGGCAGTGCCGAAGAACGCTTGATCAAGCAAGCAGAAATGGCAACTACCAACGGGATAAGCAACTTCCCGGGGCAGACAAGCCCGATCTGCTGGCCCCGCATTTCAGTGCTCCAAACGCTGCACAGATCCCCCGACTTCCCTCCTTCCTCTGCAGGGCTGTACACACACTCACAGCCCACCAGGCAGGACCATTTATAAGCAGAGATGTTCTTTGGAAATCTCCTTTTTTATGCATTGTGGGCATCAAGCTGGGGCAGGAACAGGCTTAACTGCAAAACCAACACATTGTCAACACCCAGTCTCCATTTACACTACAAACTCGTCACGAAGGAGATGCCGGCGATTAGCTCGATGCACAGATGCAAGACATTCTGGTCTGACACACTTTATATAGGTCACCAGTAACAAAACTCCACAGAGCCAGAACATTCATTCCTGGGCAGTCCTGGCAGACTGTGCATAAACATGCACAGCTTTAATCCTGGCAGGAGAATGCTTCACCACGACGCAGGCAGCAAAGCTGAGCACCTCCAGGAACCGACACTTCCTATCCGCACCGAGGGCTCATCATTCCAGAAACGTGCAGGTTTGCCCTGGCTAACTAACCAGGAAAGGACACGGAGGGCAACGCCTCGCTTTGTACCTCGGGGAGGCTGCGGGCTTTAGCGAGGACCGCACCGGTCGGACAAGGCGGAGAACCACTTTGCTTTCACCCCTAGAGGAAGTATCTGCTGAGATACAAGATGACTCAGGACGCAGAAGACAAAAACGACCGTCTGACAAGTTACCTGGCAAACTTTGCGGTAAATGAGTGGACAGGGCAGAATGTGGGAGTGGCGCTGCATGGTGGGGGCTGGAGTGCAAGCCAGCCAGAAGACCTAGAGAGAAAAACAAAGAAAGGAGAGGGGAAAAAAAAGGAACAAATACACATCGAAGACAGGAATGAGCAGAGGAGCTGCAGCAGTTAGCCTATAGCTCAGCTTCCAGCTATTGGGAATTCCGGGCTAGGCTATAGGGATGTGCCCAAGGTTCTCCAAACGCAACTGCTGGAGATATGAACGCATGAACTACAGCATGAAGCAAAAGCAAGAAAGATGAGTTGGTCTGCAATGGGTTAACACAGCAGAGCATCGGCATCTTGTGATTTGACAGCACAGGCACAAGTAACACACACATGTGGACGTGAGGATACTCACTGTGGCCAAGCCCGTGGTGGAAAGTTCCTGGAGCAGGTCCCGTAACTATTGCATCCTTTGATACTCCTGCTTTTGGGGAGGAGTCTGAACTGAAGGAGATGACATGAAGAGGGAAGGAATGAATAGGAGAGATAATACCTAACGGGGTGGAGCTCAGGGCAGCTGGCAGCTTTGGATTGCTGGACTTGTAGGATGGAGCCAGTACACTTAAGGAGGAAGAACTCGTTAGCAGCACAGCTCCACTAGTTCCTTTCTGAAAAGCAACAGAAAAAGTCAGTCAGGAGTGGGAAAACCAAGGCATAGCATCATTCATACTTAAAAGATGATCTGCAGAACATGGCGCGATCAAGAATTCCTCCTTGCAAGAAGCACCCTCCCAGCCAAGGCCCAAGAGCTGCCAATTCTTGAGGCCAGCTGGAGATGCCCAGGACACTGGCAACCCTCTTGCTGGATGCTACACTTGTCTAAACGCAGCCGTACTGGATTTGACTCTGTTATTCCCTTACTCGGGAACTGTGCCTCCATCAGGCAGAGGAAAAGCTGCCTGTGAATTCCAGGGAAGATGCTTCCTACGTGCTTTCGGCAGCACATCATTGCTGCCAACTCAAGGCACCAACGTTTGGTGCATCCCTGCACCCGAGAATGTGATTTCAGATCTCTCCCATGGAGAGAGACAGCACTGGGAATGCTATGGAGCGCTCTGTCTCAGTAACAGACAAGGCACATGGGCTAAGCAGCACACGGTTTCCAAGCCCACTTAAATATAGTCATTTAATTGCCCCGCTCTTTCTGCATGTCACAGAAGAAAGCAGGTATGAGCAGTCAACAACAAATTAATACGACAGCGTTAGGAACCATTAGGTTTTTGCTACAGATGAAAATTAAAGCCCTTATACCATTAAATACAAGGGCTCAATAAAAGTCTATACAGGTAACCAGGAGTCCTTCATGAGACATTATATCCCAATGAACTCAGACCCTGAATTCCACAGCGTGCCACAGAGCTCCTTTCCAAACATCATTTTAGCAGCTTATGGGAGTAACCAGGGAGCAACCGTGAACAGAGAGAACCCCCAAAGCAAGCTGGGTAAGCATCTTGATTTATAACACAATCTCATGACTGACCTATAGAATACATAAGGCGTGAGAAAAGTGGCAATGACACTAAAATTACCTGCGATAGTTTAAGGAAGGCCATGTTTGCAGACCTTATTAACAACAAATTGATCATTATCATTTTAGCTGATGTAATGATTTTTGGCTCTCGTGATAACTGGCCTTACTGCGCTTCCTCCTGACCCAAATGAGAGCCCTACTGTCCCTGTAAGTCACAAAGTCAGGGCAGGAACATTACACAGCCCATGCAAAAACTGCCATCTGGAAGGTGCCACAGTAGTTTGCTTAGTTGTTACTTTAAGCTGAAAATGAAAGCTTGAATTCTGGAGTGTAAGCCCATGGCAAAGGCCAGGACTTCCTAGCCTAAGCAGCCAAGTTCCAGACAGACATTCAAGAATTTCAGGAAATTCTTTTGAAGTCATCGCTTTACGGCAGGTCTGAACAAGTCTGGAGATGGCCTGACACAATGCCATGTGTTCTCCTCGCTTTAGGCTGGGCCAGCACACCCCTGCTTACCGGCACAGAGGTAGAAGATGCGGTGCTGCTAACAACAGCTGGCTTTAGGGAGGAGGTGAGCAATTTGGCCACCCCTTGAGTGCCCCCGCTAGAATCTCCGTTTGAACCTCCAGGAGGTGCCACCAGAGTCAGCTTCTGCGAAACAGGCGTCTTCTTCACCGAGGAGCTTGAGGACGGGCGGCTGGACGCCTGTCCCGAGGAAGGGGTCTGCACACTGGGCGGCAAGCTCCCAGAGGAGCAGCCCTGGTTTGCAGAAGCTCCAGATGAGGAACTGCTGGAAGAAGCCCCGTGCTTGGAGAGGGAACCAGAAACAAAGGGTGATTTGTAAGATTGTCCTGAAGAACCAGAGCCACTTGAGTGCTTTCCTGCGTAGCTGAGAGATGATGAGGACGAGCCTGGGCTCTTGTGGGAGCTGCTGGCGTTCTGGGTGCCACTTGGTGACACAGAGGAATGGAAGCTCTGAGCTTTGGTTGATGACTTGACCTGCTGAAGGAGAGAGCGTTGGGGCAGCGGGGAGGAGGACTTGGGATTCTGCAGTTTGACAAACGGAGCCGGGGAGGTGAAAGTTTTCTGTAGCTGGCTGCCTGAGTGAAAGACCTTCACCTGAGAGCCCGGCACCGGCATGGAGGTCTGAGGCCCGTGGCTTGGCCGGACCAGGCTGTGGTGCTTCTGTTTAGCCTGGTGTGCATCGGGAAGGATTTTGCTGGGGGAGGCTTGGCAGGAGAGCTCTTTGTAATTAGAGTTCTCGGTCTTTTTGTCTTGAGAAGACTGGCCCAATGCCAGGGCCTGCTCAGCCAAGAAATTTAGAGGAGACTGGAGAGAACCAGAGGATGATGTAGGGGAAGGGTTGGACTTTGGGAACGTCCTCTTCTCCTCTGAGGATGCAAGAGTTGGGATCTTCTCTGGTGGAGCTTTTGGAGCTCCAGGAAGAGTAAAGTCAGGGCTCCCTCCCGCTCTGCTGTTCAGCACAGCCAGTTCCTTTGAGACTGCTTCGAGGGAGGAAGTAGGGTTATGAATTAAGTCCTCATCCAAGGAGTCATCCATGAAGGTAGCAGAAGTGCCAGTGCTGCTGGCTGCTTGGGCTGTCCCAAGGGACAAGAGTTCCCTGGTTTGGGCACTGATGCCCAGAGCTCCTCCCTGGGGCTCTGAAGACAGAGCTAAGGTGCTGCTTGAGTGCATCGAAGGAACAGAAACCGACATCTTTTTATCTGGCTTGCAGGAAGATTCCTGGAACAAAGTCACAAGAGAAGGCAGAGTCAGAACAGAGGCAGGGTTTACTGCTAAAAAAGGAAGGGAAGGTTCCCGATTTGGGGATAAAAGGCAGAATAAGCAGGTTTGGTGCTTGCTGGCTCCCCGCCTCCCTCCCAACTGCTGCTGCCATCCATTTTAGCTGCTGTTCTAGTTGTTTTCTCAAGCCCAATACTGACTAGACCTATTTCACAGTACAACTTCCTTATACCTAACGTGGAGATACAAGGCTGAAATACAGGATTTCAGATGGCAGCCGCTTGACTCTTGGCATCCATCAACCACAAGAACCAGAAAACAAAGAACTCACCTTCACTTTCACCTTAGTAGGAGCTATAACTTTCTTCTTCGCCCTGTTTTGAGGGAGACAAAAGAAACATGGCTCACTGAATGCCTGCAAGGAAGCATCCAATTAGGGAGCACACTTGGGGCCTGTTAATGATGATCCACTGAGTCTTTTGCAAAGAACCAAGGGAACAGAGGCAGCATCTCAGGTTGCTAGGAGTCAAAACCACGATACATTTGGTTGCTGCTCTAGGAAGGCCCGACTCCCACACAAGGGAATGAACTAGGGAGCGGAGCAGAGTCTTGAAATGGCAGCAGAGCAGTGAAAGCACTCAACAGACACACCCTGCACCGGCTGCAGGGCTAGGAGCTACTACAGGAACCCGCTGCTGCCCTAACTACAGCAATACCCAGAGAGAAATTGATACAGAGACTGCTTTGGAGGAAAGTTACACACTTCTTTTAGGTTCCCAGAAGAAGTCAAGGATGCAAAAGCATCTGCCAAATTCACAGAAAATAGATCATTTGTTCTGGTCAGATGCAAACTCTGGTACAAGACATCCCTGAACTGCTGGAACGGTATGGCTGAGGGAAGGATGACTCTACACTCTATTTCATACTCTTTCTCACACTTCCCCTCGCTCATCCAGTGCCAAGAACAGGACCGTTTGTCAAACAGACATCAGCCTAAGTCCATATCGTCATCTATTATAGACTGCCAGCAAGATCCATAAGACCCTTTGGCATTAAAGCACCTGCCCAGCTGGATTCCAATGGCTCTCTTGGTTTGCCACCCAGAAGCCTGTTGCACCCATCTTCACTAGCTTGAGCTCCTTGTACCCTTCCTTTAAGCAGGCACCAAGACAGAGGGAATCCAGAATCCAGTAAGGACCGACTGAACAGGTAGCAATAATCACAGTGCTGGCAGCACACTCCATTTTACCTTGATCCCAGGGACCAGCACAGAGGCCTGACTCCAGTCTGTTGAACAAGGCCAGGAGGCAACCTGGCTTCCAAGTTCTTATCTTTGAGTTTACTGGAAGGCTAAAGCACCTCAGGAAGGCTGTTGTTGGGAGATATCACACACAAACAACTACTCTCCCTAGACCTCCCCAAAGGAAGCAGCGCCAAACTATCTGATGGGAGCCAAGCTCAGGTGCTCCTGCATGATCCACCCAGGCCCCAGGGAACGGAGTTCACCAGTTATCACTCCAAAGGAAGGCTGCGCGATACTCACAGGACTGATGTGAGGTGTCCGTGTACACGCCTGCTCTCCTTAAACAGTGTCCTAAGAAGGGAAGAGAGCAATGAGAAGTGATATCCAGCAAGACCCAGTAGAGCAGCTGGGATCACTGGAGACAGAGCTGCACAGTACAGCAGGGGACTTAGTGAAATTAAAATCACAGAGAGCAAACAAATATTCATCCCTTTTCCAGGCAAATCCTCCTGAACTCCCCCACACAATTCCCTCGCTGGGGAGCTACGCTTGTAGGCGCTGGAAAGGCCATTAAGGCAGTTGTTGGATAATAACTAAGGAAAAAGCTCTGCCAGCTTAAAACTAGAGAGGCAGTACAATCATTCAAGCTGGGCATCACTGCTGCCACAGATCATCCAAGCACTGGCAGATCATACAAGAGCTCTTCATCCACTTCAAGGGAGAAAGGTTACCTTCCCCTCCCTCAACTACAGCAATAGGGACAAGAAGCCTGCGCACGTCGTGCGTCTCTGTTGCCTTCGTGTCCCCAGCAAACAGCTGAGATGACTTCTTAAACACAAGCACAACCACTCCTGTCAACAACTGACTAACCACAGCCAATAAAAAACATCCATCCAAAACCCTCGACTACTGAGGCGAAGTAAACCAGAATCTCACATAAACACGGTTTCACCTAAACCAGCTGCCACCTTACATCTCAGGGTGAGAAGCTTATAAACACACCTCCAGTACAGGCATGTTGAATACACTTCCCATCTGCTGTTAACAGCTCGACAAAGACTTTTTTCATCCTTTTCCTTTTAAAAAGCAAGCTCATTTTAGCCTTCTCTTCTGTTAATCGCCTTGTAGTGCTGAGAAAACAGAATCACAGCAGGGCCTCCCTGAAATTATACACAAAGGCACTACTCTGTCCATCTCCAAGGTCGTCTAAAAAAACAAACTTCTGTGATCATGATAACAGTGCATCAAGCTTCCTTGTCCATAAAGTTGTTTACAATTCTCCTAGTGTTGCCAAGCCCACCCCTCCATGTCCGTGCAGCTGTCAGTCTGCCCTCTGCCTTTAAACCACCAAGTCATAGAACAGCTCAAGTTGGAAGGGACCGATAAAGACCATCAAGTCCAACTCCATCAAGTCCCAGCAGGAGAAACCATTGTCCCTGAGCCGCTGGAAAGCAGCCAGGAAAACTGCTTTCATTCAGTCCTCCTGCAGTTAACTTCACTGGAAGGCCCGCTTACGCTGAGCCTTAGGTGAACACCTGAATGCCTCAGAACAGTTTCACCCACCAACTAGGGGCAATTTTTCATTTCCTTTTAAATAAAAGTTTCTAAAACCTGGCAAGCTGAGACCCTCAGGCTGGTAATATCTTCATTAGCCAAGCAGGAATCTGCACCTACCTCCTAATGCCATCGTTCAGCTCCCACACACTCCAACACACTGCAGCCAGGCACATCGCTGTACTTCAGGTGCACGTGCCACTGCAATAATGGCCACCGACTTTGCCAAATCACTCTGTAATGTGCTACTGATACTTACTGCTCTTAAGAACTGGTACCTACTTCTTCATTTATCCCCCGTGAAACCCAAAAAGCAAATTCAGCAGAGAGAAGACGACAGTGCTGCCCAGCTCTTTGAATGCAAAGAGACAGAGATTCCAGCAGCAAGACTGTACATTGTCCTTTCCTTAAAGCTATTGAGCAAAACAAAGCAGGCCAGAAGCTGATGACAGTCCCAGCAGAAGGACTCTCTGCAACTGCCAGCTCAATGGCGTGGATGATGGAGGGCATGAAAGAGCAGGAAACAGCAGTAAAGACACCAGATCGGGTAAAGAAAACCACACCAAATTCCTGCTTACTTTGCTGACTCTCCGATGTGTCTAGTGCAAGTCCGTAACCCCTAAAAATTTCTGCTTTGCTTTCCTTTGGGAATCCTCTAGGGAAGACTTCCCAAAGTGTCTGAAGTGTATACTTTGTGAGACAGATTACAAAGGGATCCTTTGTAACACAGATTCAAGAAACCACAGGCCAGTCAGCCCCACCTCAGTCCCAGGTCTGCCTTGTATCTTGTCACGGCCAGTGGCAGCCATCAGAGGTCAATGCAGGGGCCAAGACCACTCCACATTTGTCATTTACAACCTGGGCGACAGCACAGACTGCACTCAGTAAGTTTGAGGGTGACATGAAAACAGAGGGACATGGGAAAATATGTTGGAGGGCAGGGCTGCCATTCCCAGGGACCTTGACGAGCTGGAGAAAGGGGCCAACACAAAGCTGGTGAAGTTCCACAAAGACAAACGCAAAGTCCTGCAGCTGCGATGGAATAACCCCATGCAGCAACACAGGCTGGGTGCCAACTGGCTACGTGGCAGCCTTGCAGAAAAGGACCCGGGGGTGCTGATGGACAAGTTGAATGTGAGCCACTGCTGCAAGGGTGCACTGCTGAGAGCTAACTATATACTGGCAGGTATTAGCAAGAGCACAGCCAGCAGTTCAAGTGCTTGCTCCCCTCTGTTTAGCACTTGTGAGGTCACATCTGGATACAGCATCCAGTTTCAGGGTCCCCACAATACAAGAGAGATGTCAACAAACTGGAGACAGTCCAGAGCTACTGCGATGGCAGAGGAACAGGGAGACAGGACAGACAAGGAGAGGTTGAGGGAACTGGGTGTGCTTAGCCTGAAAAATGAGAAGACCAAGGAAAGATCTAAGGGAAGTCTTCCACCACCTAAAGAGCAGCAGGGATGGGGAGCCACAAAGAAGATGGAGCCAGACCTTTCTCAGAGGTGCACAGTAAAAGGCAAAAAGAGGCAATAATCAGTTCGGTGCAGGAAGGGTATTTCTGATTGGAAATAAGGAGAAAAGATTTAGTGGCGAGTGATTAAGTACCAGAACAGGGGCCCAGAGATGCTGTGGTCATCTCCATGCTTGGAGACTTCCAATACTCCACAGGACAAGGCCAGGAGCACTCTGACCTAACTTTGAAGCTAGCCATTCTTTGCAGGGCTAGGACTCACGACCTTCCAAGGTCCCTTAGGACAAGGAATCCCTGGAGCACAACTTGGTTCTTGCTCACCTGGCCTGCATCCAGCCTTTTGGCCAAAGGGGCTTCACCTCTCCATCTAGGAAGGTCTTCACATAATCCTCTAGAGACTGAGCCTTATTCTTGTCAAGGTCATAACCATCCAACTTAATCTTCACCAAGTGGCAAAGCAGCTCCCTGAAGAACAGGAAGATTTCAAATATGGTTACGCGGAGTCACTTGCCCCACTTGGAGGTCACTGTGTTTATCCAGGGCTGCATAAAGACGCCAGGACACACCTGGCTCTGCGTGACCCCTCGCTAACAAAACCCACCCTGCACTGCCTCTGCAAGGAAGGGGAAGGGAAAGGCACATTCCTCACTCCCTGTGTGCAGGCACCTCGATGCGCCACGGGAGGAAAGCCTTCTTATCCCTTCCCATTTCACCTCCCCAAACAGCAGAGGCAGTAAACCAGTGCCAGAATTACAGGCGTCAGTCACAACCGCAGAACTGAACCTCTCTGCAGACCTTCGTGCCCAGAGGCAAGGAGAAGGCAGAGAACGAAGCTTGCTTTCTTCTAAAGGAACCAGCCATCTATGGAGCAGCACCCCAGTTTGTCACAGACCAAGACGGAAAAGACAGCAGGAGCGACCCTCCTTTTACCCTCTGTCACTCTCCCCTCCTCCCAGCTCTCTCTTCTTTCTGCCAGGGGCAGCAATCCCCGTTAGCATGAGCTGCTTTCACAACCAGAACCTAGTCTGGTTAAGAGTCTAGTCTCTGGGATCCCAGCAATTCAGCCAAGCTCCTTCCTTTCCCAAAGATCTGCCCCTTTCTTTTGGCCTCTGCACACAGGCTTCACAGCACTTCTCTCACAGTTGGCCTGTGCCTGAAATCAGCTTAATTTTGCCACGTCTATAAGGGTGAGATTTAATAAATGCAGTAGCGGCTTCCATAAACAGCACAGCCTGCCACAAACCTCCAAGCTGACTGTTACTGCAGATGATCAGCAACACCGCTCTGAAAACAAGATACAAATACCAAAATGCTTCGCTTCCAACTGCATAGAATAAGACAAGTCACAGGTTCACTTACTATCCAAATTATGCAAACCTGATTTCATCATTCCATTGAAATTTCTTTCGTGGTCCCATGACACGCTTCCCTCCCTTTTCTTCATCCTCATCATCATCTGAACAAACTCGATCTCGCTGCTCTTTGTCCTTTTCTTCTTCCAGCATCCTAAAATGGAGACAGAGATGACGTGGAAGTAATTGTTCCAGATATTCAAGGACAGGATTAAGTATTTCTGAACGTTGTTCCAAGGTCTCAATAGTCAATGGTAACACACACAAGGGAAAAGAGCCTAAATCCCTGGCTTCGGGTGCAAGTTGAGCTGTGTGCTCAAGGTTAAGAAATCTCCCAATATTGGGCAATAGAGACCACAGGACTAATCCAGCCTTAATGTTCTCTGACTGCCGTGTTCCTAAAGACAGGCCCGCACAGAAGTGAAACCCTCCAGCCAAGTTCTGGTCCCACCAATGTTGCTGTAGTTGGCATTGCCATAGATAGCACAAAGAACACACGCAGCTTAATTAGGCCAATTAATGCCCATCAGCAATACTTGACTATAGAAGAAAAAAGGTGGTAAACGGCATGAGAGCAGCCCAGAGGCCACAGGGAGCCTGCTGGGAAGAGCTGCAGGTGCACAACGAGGAAACGAGGAGCTTACTTGGCAAACCTGGCCTGAGTATGGGCTTGACAGTCCTCCTGGTACTTGGCCATCTGCTCTGGCATGGCCCTTCCAATGGCTTCCTTGAGCTTCTGCAGAGGTTCCTTCAATCGGCCACCCTAGAGCAACCACAGGACAGACTCAAGTCCCACCTGGCATGTTCCAGCCAAGACACCCAAGTCTGGCAGGTCGACACCCGGCCAGTTCGGAATCCGCACCACCACATGTGGGGCCTGAACCACGCTCACTGGAGGACCCCACTACGTCAGGCAGACAACAACTGGGCTCTGCCCATCAGGGGGAACATGCACACCCAGCAGGGCACTGCTGCCCGGTTCACTCACCTGCTCATGGAGATAAAGCTTACGGGCGCGCTTGACCAGAGTGTCCTTACTGCAGGGGAAGAAAGCAGCCAGATGGGCGTACACCCCGGACCGGACCTGGCTGTTCAGCTCCCGGGTCTGCAGCTCTATGCTGAAGAACAAGACAAACACAGCGTTGACCAGGGACCTGCCAGGGCTTCTCTGAGCAACAGAAACACAACTCAGAGGCAACCTGGGGAGCTGGAGGCAGGGAGAGAGGGACAAGGTACAAGCCAAACTACATGACAGTTCTTGAGATAGTTTAGAACTAACACACCCAAGCCCTTTACGCCAATCATTGCCTTTTCATCAGGTTTCAGAGTAGGGGGAAAAGGAACAGAAGGACGTCAGCAGCCCCATTTGTTCTGCAGTTCTTCCTGGCAGGTGAAGGGCAGAAGCTTCAGGCAATGAAAGGAGAGGGACACACGGCTTATGTCAGGTACTACGGTGGTCTAACTCAGGGTAACAGAGAAGCCAACTTTATCCCTTGGGCTTGACCTGACTTCCCAGGGAGCAGGTTAGAGAAGTCAGGGGGTGCCAAACCCGCTGACACAGTTTGATACAACTTGGGCAACCAGCTTTTTAAGGCACCTCCCGGTGTCAATAACATGTGTAAAAACCCCTAACTGATGCTACCACAAAGTCATACAAATCCATCAATCTCTTCCGAATGTGGTTCAAGGTATCAGTTTGACAACAGATTAGGACTGTTTGTGCAGTCAGCACTGGAATGCTGAAAGGTGGCAATTGCCACTTGAAGGGAATTGCCAAAGGGGAGTTCAGGAGTCTGTTTCCCTCTCGTTTCAAGCGTCACGATAAACCTTCATGAAATTAAAGCCTCTGTGCGAGTCTGATTACACTGCGATGATCACAAAGCTGCGTGCATTCAGCAGCCTTCTCCAGGCACTTGAAGAAGAAAGAAGCCATTGTCAACAGCTGCGTGAAGCACCACTGGCATTCGATAATTGGGGCACTCCAAAACACAGACCAGTCATGGAGTTCCTCCAGTGTGCACAGAAAGCCAGCTGAACATGGCAGCCTCATCCCAGCCTTATCAAGCATAATCTGGGAGGCCTGGATACACCTCCAGCATTCTCCTACCTCAGTTACACATCATATTTCAACTGAAAGCCTTTTCTAGGAGACTTTCACACTATCCTAGGCATGTTCTCCATGGAGGACCTCTATAAGGACACCCCCACCACTCCTGCTAAACCCACTCCTGAATTTACCAAAAATGCTCTGCCTAATACTCTCCTTTCCCACTCTTCTCCCCAGGCACCACTTACTCCAGTATGATGCTGTTGATATCCTGAGTGAAGAATCTCTGTTTGCCTTCTCCCTCTGCAGCTCTGGCAGCCTGGAAGTTCACAAATAACACAAGTCACCCTCAGTTCAGAAAGACTGACAGCCACAAGCAACCAAGTGGGTTTCAAGTCACTCCAGAAACACTGTAAAACGAGGCACAGTTCGATCCCACCAAACTCTGCACCAGCCACCTGCTGTAGGTGGGCTAAAAGCTGCCACAATCAACAGACAGAAGAGAGATTGTGTCCTCTCCTCTTACACCTCCTCAGTTCAAGTCCAACCCTGCCATCTGAACTGGTAAGACCATGTCCTACCCAGAGACCTTCCCATTCTGGATTCTCCTGTCCAGATGCACCACAGTCAAGTGCAGTGGAGTTACTACACCGGAGTGAAGATCCCTCCATGTAACGGGGCAAAGGAGATGGCTTGGTGGCAACCGGCTTCTTTGGCATAGGGAGAAGGGACAGTTCCAGGGTTTTACTTCACTTTAGAGCTGTTAAAGATTGAGTAATATGAGCATAGAGCTTGTCCCTGGCACAAGAAAGATCACCCCAGTCACGTTTAATGGGGTCATGGATACTTCTCCCCAGGCTTTCTACACCAACCTGGATACTAAGCCAAGAAACCAACAGAAAGAGCAGGAGGCACAGGGGATGTGTTACTTCCAATCAACAACATGGAAACTAAAAAAACCAAATCCCATTCAGGAAGCTTCCTGAGCTGTGACTGCAGCACACACAGCCCGCCCAAAAATCATACCCATGGAAAGTATGTCCAGTGGGAAAAGAATTCCAAGAGATGAAGGAGATAATAGACAATTGCCAAGGGCTTTCAGTCTCTCCCGAGCGGGGATGTAAACAAAACTGGGATTCAGCACAAGGCATCACATCAAGTCAGTGACTCCTTGCATGGGAAAGGAGACCAGGAGAGAAGGGCAGCATTTTGAAATCTCCTAATTTAACACTCCAAGGCTGAGGCTGGTAAGCAATTCATTTATGCACAGAAGATGTACATTCCTCCCTGGCAGCAGCAGCTCACAGACAGCTGGTGATGTCAAAGGAGAAGGCTCAGTGCTAATGAGTATCCTCAACAGGAAGATTCTTTTAGGAAGGAGAGGGTTAAATCACTTCAAGTAGAAGGGGAAATGGCGGGAGGCTCCATTTAACTCCGGAGATTCGACCACCTGCTGGTATGGAAGAGACCCAGCTGTCAGACAGAGCTATGGCACCTCTTCATCCCCACCTGCACAGGGTTCCTGTCCCTGACAAAATCCTGACTGACCCAGAGGCTTCCATTTAGTCAATCTTGTATTTCTTCTCCTTGGTTTCTTTTCTTAACACACACAGGCCAGTAACAAGAGACACAGCAGCAGGAAAGTCTGCGCAGGGAAATCTGTGGGTAGTCTGCTATCCCACTGTCTGGCAGCAACATAATGATTAACTCAATATCAGGGGAGCCTCCATAACATCGTCCTTTAACTCAGCTATAGGTCAGAAACAGCTGTTTTGGTGTCTTCTGCTCACAGCCTGGATAGCAAAGAGAAACACCCCTGGAGAGCCCACTCTTTTCATCAGCTGTGGCAATACTTTTTTCAATTCCTCCTTCTCTTTCATCTGCTCACCACCACTATACACACTTAAAATTTCACAGAACACAGTTCTCTCTAACAGAAGCTTATCTTTAGCAACAGGAGTTATTAAAGAAGAGATACTTAAATAACAGGTGCTCTGACCCAATGTGCCCCAGAAGGCAGAACGCACGCAGAGGTCTATGAGCACCAATTACAACTTCAAATCAATGTTTAAAAACAGCACTAGTAGCAGGAACAAAACACCTCAGCATTTGTTGACAGGCTGGTGGTGACAGCCCTCACACCAGAGAAGCCCCACATTCTGAGACATGCCAGGAAAGGGATCCCTGACCAGCACCCAACGCTTTCCCGCTTCTCCAGAACAGTGCTTCCCAAAGCACGGCACAACATTTTGGAGAAGATGGGCAAGACCCACAGGAGTCCAGTTGGTCAAAGGACGTGGGATCACCCTTCTAATATATTCTTCTGCTTAATATATTCCCCTCCCTAAACGGTACCCCAACACTGAGATGTTAAAGATGGGTACAAAACTCAAGTCGCCACTGATGCAGCGCCAACGTGGGAGATGCCAAATTGCACCCATGCTTCAGTGAAGGCATCTGCCAGCGCACGACAGGGGAAACGGTTCTAACAAGTCCTCAAGCCCCATCTACTGGGCTTTTCATGCCTTCTCACACTGCAGAACTGGTAAGGCTTTCCAGCTGCACCCACTTCTTTTACAGAGAGAACACTGCACGACACTTCACAGACACTGCCTGGACCGTCACAGCACCTGAAACTACCATGGTGGAATTTCGAACTCATTAGTTTACATTTTAAGTTCATTCACGTTAAATTGACTTTGGAAATTACCTCTTGCATCAAGTCCAGACCTTGCCAAGAGAGGGAAAGTAGCCACGCTGGCAGGTGCGATGCTGAGTGTTACACTCAGCAGACCCCAAGGCCAAGGACTTTGACACCACCTCTCATCCAGGTGTTCAAGAAAGTGACTTGGCCATAAGAAAAACTGGGTGACACAAAGCTGTGATCCCACTCCCCACTGCAGCGTGCTCTGTCTCTGGGTGAAGCTCCAGCAGAGGTGTGCTCCCCTCCAGCAACCGCACAATCCTACTGCCCCGCCACAAACTGCCGTACCTGAGCCAGTTCTTTGATGCGTTTCTCCAAAGGGACTGGCAGGCCTTCTGGGAGGGATGGCGGTTGTTTGACATCCTGCTCCAAGCCCGCCCCGATCGGATCACTCCCATCCTCCACATCAGGAAAGGGACTCCCTGCTGGGGACTCACTGAGGAGCCGCTCCAGGTCCAGGTCACTTAACGAGTCCACGGCTGTTGCTGCCTGAAGCAGGTCGTTGTCACTGGCATGGCCGAAGAGCGAGAGCAAAGGGTCAGCCATCGCCTCCAACTCCCTCGGTGCTGGAGCTTCTGCCGGCGAAGGAGTCACCACTTTCTGCTCCTCATCTTTTTTCTTCTGAGCGTCCTTCTCCTTCTGAAACTTCTTCAGCATCTCCTTGACACTAAGAGCACCAGAGTATTTCTTCTTCTTCTTCTCCTTACTCGCATTTAACGCTGTAAAGCTGTAAACAAAGCACGGAGGAGGAAAGGAAAGAGAAATGAACACAAGATGAA